TATATATATATATATATATATATATATATATATATATATATATATATATATATATATATATATATGCCCTATATGTGCGGTTGCTGGTGATGCTCTTCATCGTACTGTTGCTGCTGCAGTTCCTGCTGATATATTTAGGGTTGCTGCTGCTTCTGTGTGTGGGTTTGTTTCTGCTACTGGTGCTGTTTATCATGGTGTAACTGTTGCTGCTGCTGCTGCTGCTGCTGCTGCTGCTGCTTTGTTTGCTGCTGCTGGTTGTTTGTCTCAGACTAACGGGCCTTACTGTGGCGAGGACGATGTCCTGCAGCAGAGACCTGCTGCGGCTGCAGATGTATTTGGGGGGCCTCATTGTCCCCTTTCCTCGTCGGCTTAGCAGCTTGCTGCAGCTATCAGCAGCAGCAGCAGCAGCAGCAGCAACTGCAGCAGGCGGTACCTCTTGGGCTGCACAGCAGCAAACTGCTGCTGACCTCGCGGGGAGCCATCTGGAGACTGCAGGGGACTCTGCTGCTGCTGCGCCACAGACCCGGTTCGCGTCAGCAGCAGCAGCATGGCAGCAGCAGCAGCAGCAGCAGCAGCAGCAGCAGCAGATTAAGACTGGGGGGACAGAAGACACGAGGGGAGACTCAACTGTCTCTTACCTCGTCCGCCCCGTGGAGACAAGTACTATCTCTCTGAAGGTTGCTCACGATAAGTACAGGCCCGGTGTCCCCGCCTTTCATGTAAGCATTCGCAGCTGTCTCCTTTTGTCTCCTCTGTCTCCTTTTTTTTTTCGGTCTCCTTTTTTTTTCTGTCTCCTTTCCCCCTCATATGTCTCCTTTTCCCCCCTCTATCGTCTCCTCTGTCTCCTTTTGTCTCATCTCTCTCCCTTCTCTCTTCTTCTCGTTTTGTCTCCTCAGTCGCTGTTTGTCTCCTCTGTCCCCTTTGCAGCAGTTTGTCTCCTGTGGCCCCTTGTATATCCTCTGTCTTTGTGTATAGTAGCTGTCTCCGTTTGTCTCCTTTGTCTTTTCTGCTTCTCCCCTGTCTCCTCCGCCTCCATCTGTGTAACCTGTCTCCTCTTGCCCCCTGTGTCTCCTGTCTCCGCTTGTCCCCTGTGTCTCCTCTGTCTCCTGTTGTCTCCTCTGTCTCCTTTATCTCTTCTGTTGTTTTCGGTGCAGCAGCATTGCATGTGTATTAGGTGTCTTATCTGTATGTTACTATACTTCTGCCACACCTCTTATATTCTATTTCTCTATATACCTACATATATATATATATATATATATATATATATATATATATATATTATGTTTACATGTGGGGTGTTTGTATACAGGTGGACATAATTCAAGAGAGTATTGCGGTGTCAGTGTCTCCTCACGACATTGAGTTGTTAGCTAACCTAGCAGCCGAGTCCCTAGAGATATTTTATTCTTATTCTCCCCGGCTTGAGGCTATATTCAGAGATGCAGCACAGCAGCAAGCAGCACTGGATGCATGCATAGTGCAGCAGATGGAGGCGAAGTGTGTGGAGCTGGAGCAGGAACAAAAACAGCAACAACAACAGCAGCAGCAGCAGCAGCAGCAGCAACAGAGAAAGGCTTCACACCCAGAAGAGGAGACAGTTGTCTCCTCGATCGCTGCAGCAGGTGTAGACCATACAACTGCTCTCGTGGGGACCCAGCTGGCTCTGAGCCGAGCAAGGGCCCAGGAGGCCCTCGCCTCTGCCTCTGACTCTCTCGTCAACAACAAACAAGGAGACATGTATGTGGAGATACACTGCGCTCTGGGGGGTCTCCGGCTGTCTCTTCTTAGACGGGGCCCCACAATAAGCTACAAGGGCAGCACACGAGACGCAGCAGCTGCTGCTGCTGGTTCGGCTCCTGCTGCAGCAGCAGGAGACAACGAAGACGCGGACTCCTTTGCTGTTCCTGTTGCAGCAGGGCCTGCTGCTGCATCCACAGCAGCAACAGCAGCAACAGCAGCAACCTCAGCAACTGCAGCAACTGGATCCCACGCAACAGCTACGGATACAGCTGGAGGGGGTGGGGGGCCCCCTCGCAGCAGCGGGCCTGGGCTTCATCTGCAGCACCGGCGGATGCGTTGGCATTTCGACTCTCCTGCTGCTGCTGCTGCTGCTGTTGCGTCAGCAGCAGCAGCAGGAACAGCTCCTGTTGCAGCAGGAGTTGGGGGCTTTCTAAGTGGATTTGCACAGATGGCTGCATCCGCAATGGACGGGCTGTCCGCGCAGCAGCGGGCGGCGTCGTTGATATCAGGGGAAGGGGGGGGGGCCCCCGAGGGGCCCCTCCAGGGTTATGTTGGGGGGCCCCCCAGGTGCTGTGTCCCCTCCTATGGGGGCTGGCTGTCTGCTTGTCTGCCCCTAACAGAGCCATGCATCGGACAGGCATACAGGCCGTACCAGACCATTGGTCCACTGGTCACGCTGCTGCTCGGGGAATGCTTCATCGAGGCCTTCACCTCAACTGAGGGACTGCTGCAGGCTCGTGTTGCGCTGCAAGGGGCTGAGCTGAGAGATGATACAAACATCGCACCCATCTGTCTCTCTTCTCTATACTTGGGATCGGGATCGTCAGACACCCCACAACAACCCCACACACACGACCAACAGGAGACACAGGAAACTGTCTCCGCACCCAGCCAACATATATTCCCCCCAAGAGGAGACACCCGCAGCAACTTCGTTACATGCGACACCAGCAGCAGCCCGGCAGCAGCAGCAGCAGCAGCAGCAGCAGCGCAGCAGCATCTGCAGCAGCCAAGCAGCCAAACAGATTCAGTCGCCCGAGACAAACAAGCAACACAACGAATGGAAAAAGCCCGCAGCGCTGTCATCGTCACTGAGACCAGAGCAGTGAGCCAGCAGCAGCTGCAGCAGCAACAGCAGCAGCAGCAGCAGCAGCGGACAGATTCGAGAACGGAGGAGAAAGGGTACGAAGATTGTCCTTTCCGTCGACGTACTTGTTTTGCCCCCCACAGCAGCAGCAGCAGCAGCAGCAGCAGCANCAGCAGCAGCAGCAGCAGCAGCAGCAGCAAGAGTATTTGTTCATTGCTGCAGTGTTGTCCTCGTCGTCCTCACCTGGAGCTGCGTCTCTCTGGCAACACAACCGAGGAGACAGTGGAGACAGTTGTCTCTCTCGCTAACACACGGCTGGTGTTAGTATGGGAGGTGCTCAACGAAGTGCTGCAGGTGGCTAGCCAGCTAGCTGAAGACATGCCCACCTTCCAGTCTCCTCCGCCTCCTCTGCCCCCTCCTCCTCCTCCTTCTTGGTCTCCGCTTCACCCGCAGCACCAGCAACAGCAGCAGCAGCAACAGCAGCAGCAGCAGCAGCAGCAGGAGGGGGTCTCTTCATCCGAGCTGCTCGAGCAGCAGCTCGAGGCCGTCGTGCACCGCCTGCTGCGGGCGAGAAAGAGATACTCATCGAAGGCCCCACCCAGCAGAAACCCCAGCATGGGTACAACAGATAGCAGGTGGTTTAGCTTGGCGGGAGGAGACGATCCCAGGGACTCAGCTGCCTCGGCCTCTGACTCAGCTCCCCCATGTATGGGGACGCAGCAACCACTGCAGCACGAAATCTCTTCCCCTGAAACTGAATCAGCAGCAGCAGCGCCAACTGCAGCACCAACTGCAGCAGCAGCAGCAGCAGCAGCAGCAGCAGCAAGCTGCAGAGATACGTCAGTGACTGCTCAACTGCTCGGCGAATTCCCCCTGCGGTGTTCCACCCGCTACACTACCAGAACCGCGTCCTCTCCTCCAGAGCAGCAGCAGCAAGTGCAGCAGCAACAGCAGCAGCAGCAGCAACAGCAGCAACAGCAGCAGCAGCAGCAGCAGCAGCGAGAGGGTAAGCAGGATGATGAGTTGGTTGTCCCTGGTTCTTTACCTGCATGGGTCCCCGCAGAGAGCGCCAATGGCTCCAGTATGTTTGACAACGGGCGTCTCCTGCGGGCTATAGAGGAGACACAATTTGGGGGGAGAGGAGACAGCTGTCTCCCCCAGTTTGGAGACAGTGAGGGGGAGGGGCATCGTCTCCCTGGCTGCAACGGAGACACTATGATGCTGCAGCACATGAAGCGGGCTGGGCGCTGGCGTCTCCCCAGCAGCGCGTTTGCTGCGGGAGAGAGTGTTCGAGCTGTGGGGTGCGCGGGGGGCCCCGAGGCCTTCAACAACTGCAGCAGACTGCCGCAGCTGCATCTCCGTCTCCGCATGCAGCAGGTAGAGATATGGCTACCAACAGAACCCGTACGCATGCCTGCTGCACAGCAAGCAGAGACACAGCAGCAAACCCCCTTCAGTAAGCGCAGCACAACTGCAGCAGGTCTAGCAGCTGTCTCCCACAGTGAACGTAGGAGACAGCAGCAGCAGCAGCAACAACAAATTCAGCAACAGCAGCAGCAGCAGCAGCAGCATGGGGACACAACAGAAGGGGACACTTCTAAGCCCACCAATGCAAGCGGTACCCTCACTGCTGCCCCCACAGGGGGGGCCCTAGGCAAGAAAGGCAGAAACCTCCTCAACCGTCTCCGCTTCGATAACGTTTTGTCTGTAGAGAGTAAGGGGGGGCCCCCGACGGAGACAGGGACAGTGGTGGGGTCGTGGGGTGGTAGACGCCGTAAAGGAGACACCCAGCAGCAGCAACAGCAACAGCAGCAGCAGCAGTTGCTGCTGCACCACTTTGTCCCCGATGGGATCGCTGGAGCTGTCCCTGGGATCGTCTCCGGTCTCGCGTCTGCTGCTGCAGGGGTATCGAATGCAACGGCGAGGGGACGGAGAGCTCTGTTGGGTGTGGGGCGCAGCAGCACGGGGCTGCTGCAGCAGCAGCAGCCGCAGCAGCTGATGTACTGCAGCAGCAATCTACAAACAGGAAAGAGGTTCTTAGCGAGGCCCCTCAAGGCCTCAGCAGTAGACTACTGGAGGGGCCTCCGCCGCCTCGTGCTGCGGAGAGACAGAGCAACGCCAGAGGGGACAGCTGCGATCGCTGCATGCGCAGCACGAGTCCCCAAGCTGATTGCTGTCTCTGCTGGGTTTGAGTTCTCCTTGGGCATGTTCTCTCTCCAGCAGCAGCAGCAGCAGAAGCAGCAGCAACAGCAGCAGCAACACCAGAGTCAGCAGCAGCAGGAACAGGAGGAGACAGATGAATACAACATACCGGAGCTTGCATTTGTGAGAGAGGTTGAGAGCAGTGATTTGTTCCCGCTGCAGCAACTGTCTCCTTATTGTCCCTGTCTTATACGTGTGGGGTTATATGTATCGCGTCTATGTGCTGTAGCAACACAGCCAGAGCTGCTGTCTCCTTTGCTTCCTTGTGTGGTGGCCTGGGAGCCTCTACGTCTCAGCAGTCCCCTTCTGTCTCCAACAAGAATGGAGCTTCAGGTGTCTCTGTGTCTCCCCTCAGCTGAAGCATTGAAGGAACGTATCTGTGGTGTCTCCCCTGATGTCTCTGCTGCACTGCGGCAGCGGTATGGGTTGCTGCAGGCAACAGAGCCAGAGGGTCTGTGTGTGCGTCTTGTTGTTGAGCCTGTATTACTAACCCTCGATACTCTTTCTGTTGTTCTTACTTATCAACTTCTATCTATTGTTAATGCTCTTACAGAAGAAACTAATAAACTTTTCCCCACACCACCACCAACACAGGATGAACTCAAGGCTGCAGCACCTGAGGCATCAGATACCCTCACCAGCGCAGCCAAATCTATCACAGCAACCACCAGCAACCAACACAGACAAACAACACCAACCCTACCACCACCACCGCATACACACCCATCAGCAGCAGCAGCAGCAGCAGCAGCTTATGAACAGTATGCTGCTGCAGCATACGCGCATGCGGAAGAAGAAGCAGCTGCTGGTGGGTCACGGGGCCCCGGCCGGGGCCTCAACCCGGTGTTGGAGACTTTCATTGCTGAGCAGCAGCAAGAGCAGCAGCAGCAGCAGCAGCAGCAGTACCTGCAGCAGCAGCACCGCCGTATGTCGCCTACAAGGGATGGTGGGTCTCTGCTGCTGTCTGGTGCAGCAGAAGGAGGAGGGGAGGGGTTGTGGGGGGCCCCCTGGGCCCCCCCACCAGTCCCCGAGGAGGAGACAGAGAAAACTTGTGTGTTGACGACGCAGGAGGCATTGGGGGGGTTGCTGCATACAACAGCAATGGCATTTGAGGTGTCTGCTGAGCTGTTTCGGGTGTCTCTATGGGATACATTCAGTGTCAGCAGAAAGTGTTGCTTTTCTCTTACAGTTGAGGACGTGGAGCTGAGGGGGGCGTCAAGGCCCCGGTGTACGGAGACGATCCCACTCGATCCCAGCCCCACAACTCTTGATGCATGCACAGATCCATTCCTCAAGGCCTGTTGTACTCGACTACAACACCAAGAACTCTGCGCCAGGCACCACAAACTCAGACGCAGATTTATACACATGCAGGCCCCCGTTAAGCGAAGAGACAGCAGAACAACTACAACTACACACCAGCAGCAGCAGCAGCAGCAGCAGCAGCAGCAGGTGCTGCTGCAGCAGGCGGAGACTGCAACGGGCACAAGACTCAACCCACAGACCTCTCACTCCTTCTTCAGCCAAGAGTCTGACGGCGAAGTACAAGGGGGGGCCTCGGGGGGGGCCCCGGGGGGGGCCCCCACGGGAGCCCCTTTACCTTGTGTTTCAGGTGCTCCTAAGGACACGGTGGTGGGTGCGGATTCATTGATGTCTTTTGCTTCTAGCAGAAAGGAGAAGCGGAGAGATCGTCGGCAGCAGTTGCAGCAGCAGCTGCAGCAGCAGGTGCAGCAGCCGCCGCAGCAAGAACGATTGGGGTCTCGTTCTCTGTCTCGGGGGCTGCGTAATATGGCATCTGCCTCTTTGGCGAGTGCTTCTCGTCGGCGTCAAGGAGACAGAGAAAGAGAGAAAGAAAGAGACAGAGACAGAGACAGAGACAGTAACGGGCCTCATTTCTTATGCACTAACGATAGACTACAAACAAGCGAGACACTGCAGGCCCTCCCCTTCACAGAAGACAGGAGAGAGACAACCGGCAGCGACATCGCCTCTGCCTGGTCAACAGGAGATGTATTCTGGCGGATATGGAGAGACGTTGAAGAGCAGCAAGAAAGACAGCAGCAGCAGCAGCAGCAGCAGCAGCGCTCGGTGACCGCACACAGCAGCACACAGCTGCAACAGGGAGGAGCAACGCAGGGCGTCCAGGCTGGGTTGACGCTTGAGGCGGGTCTGGCGTCCCTGATATCTGCATGCGGCACCGGGCAGCAACAGCAGCAACAGCAGCACCAGCAGCAGCAGCAGCAACAGCAGCAGCAGCTGCTGCAACATTCAACAGCAAAACACAGGAGTGTGAAGTGCACGCGACACGCACAACGCCAAGGCAGTCTACTGGCTCACGGCCGTCGCCGTGTCTCTCGTTTCCGTCTGCCTAAGTCTTTCCGTCGCTGGGTTGTTTCTCAGTTTAGGGGCCCGGGTGGTGGTGGGGGCCCACCTGGTGGGGGTACTGGGGGCCCCCAGGGGCCCCCCATCCCGTGGGTACGCGAAGCAGCAAGCGGGGAAAGGCTAAGACGCCTGATGATGGCGTCGGAGCCGTGGGCGAGCATCGACTTGAGTTTTGTTGTCTCCGCGGAGCATTTGAATAGACTCGAGGGGACAACAGATGCAACCATAGAGCCGTGGAGACTGGAGACAGTTGGGCGCAAAGTGTCTCTTACAGACCCCACACTTTTAGATCTCCGAGCTTCTTGGCTTAACCTAAACTTTAATGTTGCTCTAGCAGATGCATTACTTGTATATGGATATGCACTTATAGGTGTTGTCGTTCGGCAGCGGGCTCTCCTGCATCTCAACACACGCAGACTGGGGCCCAAGGCACCCCCACAACCAGGGGTACTAGGGGCCCCTGGGGGCCCTCTAGGGGGCCCCCTCGGGGGCCCCCTTAACAGGGAAGGGTATGCACAAACTGTTCATGGGGGGGGCCTCAGAAGACCTGAGTCTATCGAGACACGCAGCGTGCGGGTTGGGGGTGCTGCACCAACGGAGGTGGGGGCATCGGAGCTGCGGTGGTCTCAGCAGCAGCAGCAGTTGTATCTGCTGCAGCAGCATGGATTGTGTGGTTCTGGTGACGGTAGTGAGGCTTCGCATGCATTAGCAGCAGCAGCAGCAGCAGCAGAAGTCCCCTCATACTATGCTGTACTGAGGCCTGATGGTACTGTTGTGGGGAGCAGTGGCTTTGACTTGTTTGCGCGGCTCGAAGACGCACTGTCTCTGGATCTATTGGGGGACCATCTGCTGCAGCGGTCATCTGTGCACATGTCTCCTTGTGCTGAGTTTGCTGGGGATCAGTTGAAGGAGGCGCAGCAGCAGCAGCAGCAGCAGCAGGCAACGGCATCTGCTGCTGCTGCTGCAGCAGCAACAGCAACAACAACAGCTGAGGAAACAACTGATAAGGAATCGGGGAGACCAGCACAACTTGTACACCCGCAACAGCAGCAGCAGCACCCCTCGTATACTTCTGCTGCTGTGTCTGCAACAGACGGAGGCAGCACTGCAGCAGACAACACAAACAGAGACCAAGCCAGCAGCAACCCGATGCTATACAATTTGTTGGGACAACCTATAGCCATCATGACAGGTTTGTCTGCCTCCTTTTGTTGCTTTTTTTGTTGCTTTTTTTTTGTTGCTTTTTTGTTGCTGTTTTTGTTTACTCGCTGCAGCACGGCTGCTGCTTTCGTGCTGCACTGCTGTTGCTGCTGCTGCCCCCAGCTTCTGCTGTCGTCTTGTGTGCTTGTTGTCTATGCTTGAATGCATATTCAATTTAGGTTTTTTTGCCGTATATATATATATATATATATATATATATATATATATATA